ATGCAATTCAAACAATTTGTGATTCTTTTGTTTTAATAGACCAACACGCCTTCAAAATCGTCTCCTGATCTTTAGTTGGAATACGAAGTACGAAATAGATTCTAAAATCAATGTAATTCCGAACGTGTATACGCATTAGCCTAGCGCGCCTCGGAGGATAAAACACCTGAGTGAATAGTGTTAGAGGAGAACAACTTATTTTATCGAAACCTGATCATTGCTCAGATAAATAACAGGCGATCGTAATGGGAGACACAATAAGACATTTAATGGGTCAGGGGATGGGGGGGGGTGATGTTCGAAGCTCAGTCTACAAATCAGTCTTGACTGAAGTATAATGAAATATCAGGCACAAATAATGAACATCCGGAGCGTCTTACATCTTATCTATGTACCGGGTTAGTGAGGCTTGATTACTCAATTCAGTGAATTTTTCTTTAATTTGAACAGAACCTATTCCAGCTCAGGTATTAAAAAAGTACAGGGAAACTCCATGAATCACAAGCAGAATTATAGACATTCAAATACAAAAATATAGCAGTCGCGTATTTACAACAGATTGGGATATAATATGAATTTAAAACTTATCTAGGATTACGACTGAGGCTTAAAAATGGGTTTTCCTATCAGGAAATATTTAACCAAAATTAGCAAGTTAATTTATCTTCCATAACCCGAAATCGATATGATCAGACGGAGACATATTAATGTCATGTTTGTCTTTGAGTATTTAGCAGCATGTCGTAAAATTCGAAACTTACTAAGTCCCCATACATGAGAAAAATGTATCTGATATATTTAGACAGCGTAATTGGTGTCATAAATCCCACTTACTTACAGTAAATATTACAATAGTATAGTATTAGACTACTTAAAATCACTGCTTGTTTACAGCCTAGGGTTAACCATTTTTTTTACGATATACAACATAATAACTTTTTAGCAGTAAAAACGGATATAACATAATAACGTGTAAATTGGAATTTTCTGGTTACTAATATGTTTCGACTAATTTAAACCGCAACCTTCATTGGGTGTAACCTCGGTAGGTAAAAAGCATACTTTATTCTAGAAATAAGTAGCAAACAGAAGGAAAATACCACCCTATATATTTCAAGCTCTCCTTCACACACACTCTTATACAAACATACATACATACATATATATATATATATATATATATATATATATATATATATATATATATATAGATAGATAGATAGATAGATAGATGAAGAAATATAGTATTAAGGTGTGCTATATTTATGAGATAAAGTGTTCAATATCAGAGATAGAGCGTGTGTAAATCCAAAAGTGAAAATAGAAGTCAACACTTAGAGGCGACAGTCTGTTTCATGCTGGACACAATCGTAAAGCCACATATAATAAATAGATTGATACGAACAGACTGATATAGATAGATAGATAATAAAGTGGGCTGACGATTGCGTCTAACGTGAAACAGACTGTCGCCTCTAAGTGTTGATTCTATGTTCACTTTTGTATTCATATATATATATATATATATATATATATATATATATATATATATATATATAAAAATTGATTTTAGGATATTATACCTAAAATATTTCAAAATCGCTACACTAGTGCAGACGTATTTCGATGATTAGCAATGCATCTCATTGGCAAGTCAGCGATTTATTTATTTATCATCTTACCTGGATATCTATCTATCTATCTATCTATCTATCTATCTATCTATCTATCTATCTATCTATATATATATATATATATATATATATATATATATAAAGTAAAAAATAAAATAAAAAGTAAGATCCTGTGTTCATCATGCGGATAGTAATAGTTTTTGGATATATAAACACATGTAAACAGTCAGCTAACCCAATATGTTACTATATATATATATATATATATATATATATATATATATATATATATATGTGTGTGTGTGTGTGTGTGTGTGTGTGTGTGTGTGTGTGTGTGTGTGTGTGTGTGTGTAAAGATTTGTGCGTTTGTGAAAAAAAACCCTAAATGTATTGCGTCTATTTAGTCTACCTACTTATCTCGTCATTCGAGTGACATAGATTGTGCGGATACAAAGAAGACATACTTGGCATAATTATTATCATATCTACCTGTTCACTAATGTCGCAGGTAGCAAGCAACCATGACAAACATGTGATTGTCAGAGCCGGTAAGACAGGTGCAATGTTATAATTTCTACATGTATATCAGCCGCTGGGGTCTTACGCTTTGAAGAGATAGGAGCGCACAACCACACGCATTAACTCCCATCTGAACAGGCTAAGATGGGTAAGAACACAGTAATATATATATAAATCTGAACAAAGTAAGATGGTTGGATAGACAGATACAAATATATATATATATATATATATATATATATATATATATATATATATATATATAGATAGATAGATAGATAGATAGATAGATAGATAGATAGATGAGAACAGATTGAGATCAAGCGATTGGACATACGGTGAAATAT